TATACTACGCTCTCACAGAATACCAGCTTACTCGTAAAATAGCAGCTTAATGCTGCTGTGTTTCATAGGTGAGTGTAGAGAACCGGATACCCTTCTTACTGGTAATGAGGCATTCCATCTTAGTCCTCAGGGGTGACAATGTATCTGCATTTTGATTATAAATTGAGCATCAATGTGGATGTCTATGGACCACAGCATCCACTTACCATCAGGTGGACTGTGTGCTAGTTTGTCACCCTATTCTATAAAAAATCCCCCCCCCCTCCCCATTATAGTATCTTATCAGATAATAAGATAGTAAAATTTGTATACTACTTTCATTTTAATTAACATGGAACTGCGTAAGATTCCACAACTCCCGTCTAGACAGTAGCAATAACGGACCACCACAACTACGTCACTGCGGCACAACTACGTCGGAGATTCGCATCACTAACAAGGAAGGTTCTTAGAACGTTGCGAAATCTAGACACGAAGAAAGCTAGTGGCCCAGTTTTTATTTTATATTTTCTAGCTAAAGTACTAAAGGGAGGTACTTAAGTTGTCACCTTATATCTCTCATATAGGAGCAGAGTTGTCACAACAGTTCCTACATATTTCTTCTACCGACTTCAAAAAGAAGGGGGTACACAATTCGACTGTATCTTTTTTATGTGTTACCTCATAACTTTGTTCTACGTGAACCGGATTTCGATGATTTTTTTTATTTTAAATCTGGTGCTTCTCGTGTTGTCCCATATAAATTTGATATAAGTCTGACCAATAGTTTTTGAGTTATCCTTCATAATATATATTGAAATCGATTGTATAAATTTTTTAATTTTTAATTATGTAATGGCGTAAAAAGAGCATAACGTGGGGCATATACACCTGCATCTATCCTCGTTAACTAATAATAAAGCAGATTCGTTGTCAGCACTGAAGATCAATGTATGTCTCGTTATCTATAAAAGATTCTTCTGTTCACTCGCTGCTGTTCCGTGAAAGCGTGGTCGCTCGGGTCGAGCCTAAACTGCAACCATAATACAGGTGTAGCATGGCTGTATCAATTAAAATCTTGCGCTGTTTATAACATCTATTCACACCTATACATATATGTGATTAGAAAAATGTTGCTTCATTACAATGTTGCCGCTCTAAGTTACATCGTGGCTAGACATCTTGGCCATTAGGTAAGTTGATACAGAGGCAAACAGCCGCATAGTTTTGTGGTTTTATACGTGTTAAGAAGGGCAGTTCTAGATCAGGAAATAGATAACATCGTTGCTATTGTAACCTTATACGGGCTAAGCGCAGCCTTCAAAGTATTATAAATATTTATTCTAGTCTGATTATTACATTACTTGCGAAACGCCCGACTGCGCTTGGATAGGATCTATTAATGTGGCGCTATTTACATTTAAGACTAACGATCCGCCCCGGCTTTGCACGGGTAATTTCAGGATCTCGACAACAGTGCCACCTATTGAGTCCAATTAAGTTTTAAACCATTTCAAACACACACACAAAAAATTTCTTCAAAATCAGTCGAGCCGTTTTTGACTTTTAGCGAGACTAACGGACATCAATTGATTTTTATATTTATAAAGAGAGAATTAAAGACAATTTCTTTTATCAATTTTTAGCTTTTTTTATCTAAAAGCTTTTCGGATAAAATACAGCCCAGATCTTTACTGGCATTGCTCTCTATTTGTTCGTAAAGCTTCATCACAATTAGTTCTACTATTTTGAAGTTAAGCAGGACAGACAGACAGACAAACAGTTACAATTTATAAAAATGTTTTTTTTTTATAGGATAGGGTGACAAACGAGCACACAGTCCACCTGATGGTAAGTGGTTGCTGTGGCCCATAGACATCTACATTTATCCTCGTTTGCGAATCAAAATGCAGATGCGTTGTCACCCGTGAGGATCAAGATGGAATGCCCCTTTTCTAGTAGTAATAAGGGTCTCCGGTTCTCTACACTCACCATACGAAACATAGCAGTGTTAAGCTGCTATTTTACGTTAGTATTCTGTGAGAGCGTGGCCCTTCTCCGGTCAAGCTAACCCATTCGTGCTACAAATATAGCTGCAGCATGGCTCTACCACGTAGAGAGTAGAGAGAGGTTATTTATGTCTTAAATGCATGCAAAACCGCTGAGCTTAATAGAAGCCACTTATTTTAATATTCCAGGCAGACAGAGAAGCAATTTAATTTATTTGTATCGATTCCGTTACTTGTTGTTTGCGAAGATATTAACACTGGATAGAACAACGAGTTGTAGCTATCTTCTTGAAGTAAAACTTCTTTAGGGACAACTTGAAGGTAAATTAAATCTTTTTTTTTTAGTAGCGTTCAGTAAATTATGATGGTAAGTGGATGTTGTGTCCCATAAACATCTTCATGTATCCTTGATTATAAATCTAAATGTAGATACGTTGTCACACATGTGGACTAAGAAATGCACTAAATTCACAAACGTAACACAAGATGAGCCGACCCATTTGTGCTGCAACTATAATGTAGCTGCAGCTTGTCTCCAGCACTGCGAATAGTCTTCAAAGGCGACAGCCACCTGAGTTTTGATTTTTAATCAAGGATAGATGTAGATGTCTATGGGTCGTCACCCAGAGTATAAAAACAATTAGAGCTGTACGATTTGAATTCGGGCAGTATTTTCGTGTGTACATGCTGGCACATTAATTTTGTCGGTCGCAGAGACGAAATAGAAAGAGAGAATTGAAGAAAAAGATGTTAAATTCCCTTACACTCAACATTACTGTACCCATTCTATTACGGCAAAAAAAGATCTCGTATGTTTCTAACATCTTTAATTATACGGACTTGAATCGTTTGGATGTATAAAACGCTAAGATATTTACTTTTTCTAAATATTAGGCTAACTAAACTTGAAACTCCGAAATACACTTCACTATTTCTGATCTGTTGTTATGGTTTTCGTTATGTATTTAGGTTATTGTTATGAGGCTACTGATAAGATAATATAGTTTGAGAGTTGAACGCGTCGTTTAAAAGTCGGTATTGAGAGTACGTTAGTATGTTCTACTTAAAAACAGTATCTATATCTAACCCGTGGAGATGTGGTTAGACAACCATAATATAATATATTGTACACGATTATTTTGCAATATACGCCCAAATTTGCAGAGAAGGTTCACAATGATATTGACATTTCAGAAGAAAAACATTTTAATGTTATCTAAAACACAATGCAGCTCAAAAAAGAAGCGACAAAACCATAGGATCTTAGGCAAAACCCACGAGCAGTTTATGGGAAACATATACACTGGCTTAAAAAACAGGAATTTTTCCGTGAATATGTTCCATCTATCCATCCATCCGTTCGTTACAATATGACCTATAAAAGTTTACTGCTGAACATAGGCCTCTCCTATAGATTGTTTTATAAGGAGGATTTCGACATTGTTGCCAAGCTTATCAATCAGTTAAATGTTGCGCCCATCCCCTGTTTCAGTTTCCCTCTATCGCCTCTTAAAACACCCACGGAACGATGTGGGGTAGTGCATTCATATCATCAACATCACTACACGGTGAATATGTTATTTTGAATATGTTATTACGCTGTGGATATGTTATTATACAAAAAAATAAAAATAAATATAAAATGTCTAAAAATCGATTGTCGATTCCGACAATGGAGGAAAATTCTGAACTTTATTACTTACTACGCAGTGAATGATAAAATATTGGTAGGTACTACTAAATGCGTATGAAGGCAAGAAAAATACAAATACGAATTTTAATATCTTCTAAAAACGTATATTAGTGAATTGTATCACTAATTGGGAATGATTTGCATCGAAAGCCCCGTTATAACTTTATACAAAATTAACGTCTAATTTAAAAAAAAACGTAACGGATTGGACCAAAGTGACCATACATCTAACGATTGGATCACATTATTCAGATGAACGACTATCGATATTAAGGCATTTAATCGATCATAAGGTTGCAAATCCATAAGCAAAATGATAATTAAGCAATAAAGACCTGGGAACTTTATATGTTACCATAGCATGTGCTTTTTTCTGTTGACCTTTTCGACCGCAGACATTAAAATTTAGCGATAAAGCTTTTAATGTTATATTGATTTTACTCAATAATTTATTTGGCGATGACTTTTATTTGATTGTTCAACATTGTTCTGGGACATAATGTTCCCGTGTTTATGCGGGACTTTTATCCAAAAAGGATGTGCCAACTGTGTGAGTGTGACTTGCTTAGCAAATCGCAATAGGCGAATAATGGGATATTGGGTCTGTGAGTGTGTAGTGTAGACGATGGGCTAGCCACTTCTTTTTTTTTTTGCTAAACGTGATCCAACTGGCTCGACGTTCCTTGGATTCTGCTTACCCTCTCGGAGATTACAGGCGTAACTTATATGTATGTATAAATGTATTTTGGTATGAAAAAACATTTGAATTTGGAATTAATTTAATCTGCTGCCTTGTTTTGGTAATTAATATTATCTACATTTTTTCAAATCTTTTAACACTTAGAACAACAGTTTAAAGACCTTATAGTTTTATAGATTTTTTAGTCACTATAGATTATAAATAAAATTTAATGAGTCACTGGATCGGAGAATACCTCTGTCCTGGGAAGAACCAGCAAGATACCCCGATGGACTTATTAAAAAAAAAGAACTATTAACAATCCTGACTTCACAACACAATTAAGAATATACTTAAATCATATTAGAAATAGTTTGGTAAGTAGCTGACGATCAACCCTCATAAATTGAGATTGAGTAGCGATAATATTAAAGGGTCCAATAAGTATTTTTGTTTCCTTTATCTAATTCCATATTCAACAGCTAATTTGTTTTAAATATCAGTCTCGTATATAAGGAAAATGAATATTTTCCTTATTTCATAGTATTTCCATTCGCAACTATTGGCAAACTGACAATTGTTAAGATTAAACACCATTGGCACTAAATTACTAAAGTAGGTATAAATAGATAAGACTTACCTTTATTTTCCCCTTGCAATGTTTTGACGGAGGGTGCAAGACCGAAGGGTGCTTTCGGTACAATCGCGGAGCCCTTATTTTTTTCAAAAAGCGCCTTGCGTTCCCTTAACGACATCTCCGCAGGGTCTTTTTCTTTAGTTTTAGGGCTTCCCGCCTCGAACATGGCTGCTTTGGACAATACAGAGCTCCTGTCGACATTGCCGTTCAGTCTTGGCGCAATTTTTTTTACTACCGGCGATCCCTTTTCGGAAGCCGGCTTGTCATCGTCAGTTTTTGTTTGTATACAACATTCCGATGAGTCGTTTTGGTTTTCTTCCTGCGGAAGCACATTGTTTTCCTTGTCTTTATCACTGTCACTATTTTCGTCCGTTGGCAGCTTACGCGGGGGCGTAGGTGCCCGATATTTTTTGATGGAGGGTTTTTTTGTTACGGTCGCCGGGTTAGCCGGCGGTGTGCTGGCGACCATTGTCGCCATCTTGGGGGCTGCGGCGGCACTGGGGGTTGTCTGCGTGCACTTCGGTCCCTGTCGGTCGCGATCGGTGTTTTCCGGCGTTGTAAAATCATAAACTAGCCGCGATTGGCTAGCGGAGACTCGCCGGAATCCTTCGCCCTGCTACGATTGGACAACGGTGACGGACGGCGCGGGGTGAGCACGTGTTTTCATTTTGTGTATCGACGCGACACGGAGCGGTTTGACACGATCGTGTTCGATCGCAGCGCGTCACGAAAGTGGGTTAGCTGGCGCTAAAAGGGATCGTGGCGAAGTTGCATCATTGTTGTGGACTAGTCTTGCGCAAGGCAATCACGTATATATAATAAATTTTGTAACTAGGAAATGTAACTATTGGAAGAGTCTGCGATTGTAGTTTGCTTTATGGGATGGAGATGAATGAACTTTCAGTCGCTGTGTGAGCGGCGATGCGTTCGCGTGTCTGAGTGATGCTCGCAAGGGGTACGTGGCGCGCTGCTGGCGTCTTACAAACAACTGCCGATGCCGAACCGTGGTTCGCATCGCACCACACGTGCGGAGAACCGGCTCCGGCGTACGTAACTACGTAATTATATGTATTGTGATGTGCACACGTTGCGGACTGTCGTTGCGTTTCGCGATCATTAATGTGAGGAAGTATGCATTGGAAGAGATGGCAAAAACAATAATTTGTCTCGCTAATGATGTATTCCAAAGTACAGTTAACATCTACTAAAACATACGGTAAATGCGAAATGTATAATCCAAAAATATAACGTAAAATTTTTGGGTCATCACACGGTCTATGAATAATTTGTCAACTGCTACAAGCCGTTTTTATTTACATTATATTACGTAATACACATCCTGAACCTGAAAGTGTATAACAAACTTCCTAAGGGTTAGAGATACGGGTTACTACGCTGCCGGTGCTGGAACGTATCCCAGCCGGAGCCAATGTTTGGGTTATAATAACTTCACGACTACATTACACTAACAAAGCATCTTAGCTTACTCCCAAACTAATTGTACATGCGTTATAACAGGCACGGTTTAGGTACGTTACGACGAACGAGTGCCTCGTCGTTAGCAGTTATCTCAGTATAATATAAAAGTGGTGCCTATACCCTTTCACCAGTAAGTCGAAACTATTGATATTTAATGAATATTAGAATCAAAAATAAAGAAATATTAAATGTAAAAAAAAAAAAAAACACTAATAGGGAAGTAACAAAATTTTATTGATGTCGGTAAACAGAGAAATTATATTGTCGCTTTTAAAATTGTACTTGGTTACAATTAACAAACTAAATAGATACTTATAGATATCTATTCTGTAAATCTCTACATAGTATGAAACAAAGTCGCTTCCCGCCGTCTGTACGCTTAGATCTTTTAAATTACGCAACGGATTTTGATGCGATTTACATCAATAGACATAATGATTCAAGAGGAAGGTTTATATGTATAATGCATAATATATTGTCGAGATCCAAAAATCACCCGTGCGAAGCCGGGTGGATCGCTAGTTTACTACAGAGAAAGAGAGCTTATAGTCTCAAATTAATAGTCTGCGGTAATACCAGCTTGTTATCCCTAGCGTAAAATATCCGGTTCTCTGTCGTTTTGCAGCAGACTTACTTCTACTACGAAGATCGCCTATTCATCTGCCCAGATAAGCGAAGCGATTACGGCGAATCTATCTAGTGTCTAACAGTAGAATATTATTGGCGGATGTTTTTTTTTTTGGATAAGGGTAACAAACGACCACACAGTCTACCTGGTGGTAAGTGGTTGCTGTGTCCCATAGACATCTACATCTATTCTCAATTATGAATCAAATGCAGATGTGTTGTCACTCGTGAGGACTAAGATGGAATGCCTCGCTTCCTGTAAAAAAGGCCTCTAATTGTCTACACTAACCATACGAAACACAGCAGCGTTAAAATGCTATTTTATATTCTGAGGGAGCGTGGTCGTTCACCGGTCGGGCTGACCCATTCGTGATACAACTATACCAGTAATATAGCTGCAGCATGGCTCTTCCACGTACAAAAAATGATGATGATTTTAGTGTCATAGTAAATATAGATAAGACTAAATTATTATTACTAGGTAGTAGAACCATTTTCTGCCGAGGAATCTGGCTCGGTAAGTACCATCCTCTTAACTAATTCTGCCGCCAAAAAGCAGTGCACTTGCACTGCTATGTTCTGGTTTCAAGATGAAGGGTATAGAGCCAGTATTATTACAGGTTGTGAGGCATTCCATAGTTTTCGTTTGCGTTGTCCTCAGAGATGACAACGCGTCTATCTAACAAAGAAGGCTTTGTTTGAAGTTAGCTGCAGGTCTCTATGGACTGACAATTACTTAAATATGTGGACTGTAAGTTAGTTTCAGTTTATTAAAAAAGTATAATATATAGAAAGGCAAATGCTACGCAGAGGGCGACTGCGACGCAAACAAATGAGTAATTTATACGTTTAGTAACAAAAATTATGAAACAAAGAAAATATAAAAACATCAACATCTATCTCAATAGACATAATCTATTATTTTAGAAAAAGAATTAGGGTTCCGCGCAAAAAAAATTAAAACCCATGAAATCCAATCGTAATAAATTACGCGCGGGCGAAGTCGCGGGGAACAGCTAGTATGTTTATAAATATCTAAAAATGTGGGTGTTGACAGCAGTATTTTTATTTTGGTTGCCTTCGCTTCCCAAGCGTGGCGACTATGGTACAATCCATAGGTTGTTATGAATCAATTAATATAAAGTATTGGGATTCAAATAACTTGATTTGTTAAGAGAAATTATTTTCGATTTAACATGACGGTAAATTATGTCAACAATGGGAGACTATGTCTAAATAACCGAGCCGCTTTGTGCACATTTGTGAGTAATATAATAAAAAGAAAACCATTGCATACACTCTAAGCAGATATTACGTAAAATAAAAGTTCTATTCAAGAAAATAGAATAGTGTAAAATCTGTATAATCCTTCCAAATCAATATAATAATTGTTGAGTTCTAGTTCTGCTAATTAATTTCTACATTGAAACAATTATTAAAGGTTCAAATACACAAAATAACCTTTATTAGTAAAGATGTCAGAAAACCGAAGTATGCTAGCATGATATACATAGATCTGCAAATAGATTATCTCCCCTTCTATCTCGAGACCAGTGACCTGAAGTGAAATAAATACACTCAAGTATATTCAACACTTCCCTAACTGGGCTATGAGCTTTGGTGTCAACAAGAGACGGAAACAAACGCACCAACAGAGGGGGTACCAAGTGTCATACGCGAACGTTCCACTGTATAATGAGAACAATAAATATAATTAAAGACTTAACACACCCGGAATAAGAGACATTTTAGATTGTATTTTTAAGGACTTTGAAACAGCTGTAGTATTGAACCTTCAAAGGAAGAAAAAACAAATTCCCAATAGTTTTTTGGTTTACTTATTACTAACGAGCTTAAGCTTCCGTATATTGTCGGCCATTTAGATAGTGTATCGATAGTTTCATTAAATCGTAATTGGGTATTAGATTTAATATTACACTTGAACAAATTAACTCTATTATTTATAATTTTATCAATAGGTATATATATATATATATATCTATATATATATATCGATCATCGTCATTCACCAATTTATAAAGCTGTATATAGGCCCGAGTCCGATGAAACTGTAATAGCCGAACTTACAGCAATAATATCATCGAAAAGCGACAACCGACGTATCGGCGTAACAGTTAATACCTGTGAAACGTATCTATTCGATCCAATTTAAAATCGACAAAGAACAGACCGCTACGAAATAACCGTGTTAAGTAAGGAAGACCTTGTTCAATTGACTATTTATTATAGTGCATGTAAACAAGACAACTAATTACGCAACAACTGGGACGTAGAGCTGGCGTAGCTCTGCGTCACGGTTGCGTAGAATTCGGGGTGACGCGACGCAGTGATTACAAAGCATGATGTTTATTAAAAACAAAATGTGTGTCTATTGCAACTACGTAACTAATTGGGTGTATATTGTACTAACAATAGATATTCCTAAACACTTATACGCATAGAACTCTTAAATAAAGGATACTATTTTTAAATTTCAAAAGCTGTCGAAATAAACTTGAATGGAATGTTTACTCGCAGCGTAAGAGAATTTAGACCTATAGCAAGATTCATTCTTTCATTACAGCCTATCAAAGTCCTCTGCTAAATACAGGTCTCCCCGTAGAATGTCTCTTAAGGAGGATATTTTCCATAGTTGCCGCGCTTGATATGCGGGTTCGAAGCCGTAGTCTTTTTCCAGTTGTCATTAGGAAGACGTTGCTGCCGCATCTCCTGGTTTGTTTCTCTCTGTCGCCTCTTACGACACCCACGGCACGATATGAAGTAGTCTATATTCTTACACCGTCACTAAACTTTCAAGAGGCATTCCATCTTAACTCTCACGGGTGACAACGCATTTGCATTTTGATTCTTTATTGAGGATCGATGTGGATGTCTATGGGTCACAGCAACCACTTAACATCAGGTGGACTGTGTGCTCGTTTGTCACCCTATCCTATAAAAAAAATACGGTTATGGCCTCCGATAAATTTGTCAGAGACCAAAGCTGCGGCGTCACATTATGCGAGAAAATGATTTTAATATCTAAATGTTATGTATTTTCTTTGTTTTTTTTTTTTTACTTTTAATATTGCTGTCAATTAAATGATAAACTTTATTGATCGATATAATTCTATTACATTAATTATAAATTTACAAAACCAAAATATGCCCGTGGTCAATATCACGGTGGTGCAAATTGTTTAAAATGACTACAAAAAAAATCTAAATTAATTTATTTCGGATCACAAGGATCCATATTATGTGCATAAAAACATATTATTCATTTTATGTTAATTAAATATATAACAGTAAAAAATTCATAATTTCAAATAATAATAACATAAAAATACCTCATAAAGAATAAAATCATAATCACAACCTTTTAGCCTGCTCGTCTGACAATTTGGTATAAAATTTCTACGTGTGAAGTCTGCAGCCGCGAAGAAAGTATCGTAGGTTCGTAGGTGACCCTATTTTTATCATATTTAAAAATTTAAACCAAAATGAAAA